GCCCTGAGTGGGTTCTGGGGCTCCATGTCACCCGGGCACAGCGCCTCACATCACTCATCTGCTTCCTGTGTCTTATCTAATCTCTCTGCACCCTCAAAAGCAAGGCCTGTGGAGGAGGGGCGCCCAATGCCTCTTGGGGAGACCCAAGGTCGCCGCACTCCGGAGGCAGAGCCATGCAGGGTGGGGCCCCAGAGGCACCTGACACAGGTCCAGGGTCCAGGCGCAGCTCTGGAGCCTGATTCATGCTCACGGTCACAGGAGGCTGACTCACACAGAGGGGCTGGGCTGCCTAGCACACCTGGGAGGCTCCCAGCTCCTGTCTTTACAGTGATGGCCACCAGTATCACCATCGGTCTCTCCATCTATCAAATGGGGCAAATGAAAACCTTACAGGAATGCTGCTGGTGCTCCATTCAACTAACACCGCAATCAATTAAATACCTGGTCAGGCACTGTGCTACGCACTTGGAAAGTAACTATGCAAAATACAGATGTGCCCTAGCCGGTTTGGCTCAGTGGCTAGAGCATTGGCCTGCAGACTCAAGGGTCCCAGGTTTGATTCCAGTCAAGGGCATGTACCTTGGTTGTGGGCACATACCTAGTAGGGAGTGTGCAAGGAGGTAGCTGATCAATGTTTCTCTCTCATCGATGTTTCTAACTCTCTATCTCTCTCCCTTCCTCTCTGTAAAAATATCAATAAAACATATTTTAAAGAAAAAGATGGATACTATAGCCATAGGACCTTTGTTCTTCACTGGGGGGGGATTCTCCCCACCTCCAGGGGGGTAATAGGCAATGTCTGAATACATTTCTGATCACCACAACTGGAGGGGGAAGTGTTCTTGGCATCCAGTGTATAGAGGTCAGCCGTACTCCTAACCACTCTACAACTGCCCGCCCCCTCCCCCTACAAGGAAAGATCCAGCCCCAGAGGGTTCCTGCTCTGAGGCTGAGAAACCGTCCTACAGCAGGACCAGGACATGTACAATAAATGTGATTGCAGTAGGCTGTGACGAGCATATGAGAGAGGAAACACAAGGTGTGACCCAGGAGGGCTCCCTGGAGGAAGTGGTGCCCAAGCTGACGTGAAGGACTCATAGGAGTGAGGAGAGTGAGGAGGAAGAAAGCTGCTCTCAGGGCAGGGAACCTCAAAGGCACAGGCTTGGAGGGTAGAAAAGGAGCCTGACATCTTTTAGAAAGTAAACTTCATTCTTTTTCTTTTATGTCTTAATGGACCTTCTGTGACAGGTGGCAGGTCAGCTTCTGACAACTTGCTCAACCCACCTCTTTAAGAGCACTCGGCCCCAGCTGGTTTGGCTCCGTGGATAGAGCATCAGCCTGAGGACTGAGGGGTCCTGGGTTCACTTCCACTCGGGGGCACATGCCTGGGTTTTGGGCCCGATTCCCAGTGGGGGGTGGGCAGGGGGCAGCGGATCAATGATTCTCTCTCATCGTTGATGTTTCTAACTCTCTCTCCCTCTGCCTTTCTGAACTCAATAAAAATATATCTTTAAAAAATAAATAAATAGAATAAAAAAACAAAGCACTTGTAAGAGCCTCCCAGTGTCCAGCCCTTCCCTGGACTGGCCGTGCTCCCATACCCCAGGCTGCCTCCAATCCCAGTCTGTTCCCTGGGCCCCGCTCCCTCTACTTCCTGACTCAAACCCCTTGTGACAAAGCTCCATTGTGGTCTCCAGAGGAGACTCCCAATTTCCCGTTTGGCGGATCAGACACTGGGACAGTGAGGAGAGCGGCCATACTCACTGCGCACCTGCTATGTGCTAGGCGCTGGCTACGTGTTTTGCCAACATGATCTCGTCAAAGGAGTTCATCCATACAGTGCGTAGAACGGTGTCTGGACATAGCAATCGCTCGGCAAGTGGGACCTGTTTCTATCCCGCCCTCACAGTGCTTCTTACGCTGTCAGGCGGGTACCATTAGCCATCATCCTCACTTTGGAATTGGGAAAACCGGAATCCCGAAATGCTGAGAGAGTAACAGGTGGAGCCTATCTCGAGCCCAAACCTGCCTGAGCCCCCGAGCTCCCCACCAGGCAGCACTGCCTCTCGGCCTGTCGTGCAGACTGTCTAGCACATGTGTCAAACACAAGGCCCGCGGGCCAAATCCGTCCCGCCAGGCCTTGCAATGTGGCCCGCACCGCGCTGTCATCACTGCACTCCGCTGCGTTTCCATCACAATGACAGTTTATGACTGTTCAGTAAACCATTCGGCCCGCGATTTAGGCTGGATTTTAGATTTTGGCCCCTTCTCTGATTGAGTTCGACACCCCTAGAGAGCCACGGGGTCAAATGCAGTTCACAAAGGAAGTCTTTTTGAAAGACGTCCATCCAAGTCGTTTAAAACCTAAAAGGTTTCAATGCTTGAACTAGCAAGCTTCCGTGCTGAGAGGATTTTCTTTTATGTTATTAAAAAAAACACACCATTTAACTGAATAAATACATTTGGAGATCTAGTTGGTTTTACTAAGTGATTCCTGAGCAGGGCAGCAGCCCACCTAGCAACCAGAAGGGAGCTCCAAGGGGTTGTACAAAACAGGAGGTTCTTATAGAAACAAGGCGGAGGCAGGGGAAAAGCAGGATTCTTTCCAGACCAGGGCTTCTCTGGGGGAAGGGAGGGACGGGTTTTTATGGACAGAGGGTCTTTCTTCCTGTGGGGCTGTGGGGAATGGAGAAGGCCCAGGGGACCGGGGAGCTCACACCAGGCTTGGCCGGAACATTCTAGGTTGTTTGATTAAGATTACATTTCTGCCCTAACTGGATAGAGCGTCGGTCTGCGGACTGAAAGGTCCCAGGTTCGATTCCGGACAAGGTCATGTACCTTGGTTGCGGGCACATCCCCAGTAGGGGGTGTGCAGGAGGCAGCTGATCAGTGTTTCTCTCTCATTGATGTTTCTAACTCTCTATGCTTCTCCCTTCCTGTTTGTAAAAAAAAAAAAAAAAAAAAAAATCAATAAAAAGATTACCTTTCTCGGAGAGGTTGAAACTGCAGTTAGATCAGGTATTAAGTCTAGCTTTGTATCGTGGGCTTTTAGCAAGTGACACCATTTTGGGCCTGTAATTTTCTCTTTAACAAAGTAAAAATCCACATTCCAGCAATATAAGCGACACTTTTCACCAACGCCATCAAGATGTGCGAGGTTTAATTCTGTTTAAATTACCCTTTTCTCTCTCTCTCTCATCCCACCACCCCTTTTATTTTGTTTTTTATTAATTCTCACCTGAGGATAGTTTTTCCACTGATTTTTAGAGAGAGTGAAAGAAGGAAAAGGGTAATTATAAACTGACTCAAATCTCTTGTGACAAAACTTCCATTGTGATCTCCAGAAAAGACTCTAGAGAGAGACAGAGAAAGAGAGAAACATCGATGTGAGAGAGACATATCAACTGGTTGCCTTCCACATGTGCCCTAGAGGGAATTAACCCCCAACCCAGGTACATGCCCTTGACTGGCAGTCAAACCCGGACTCTACACTGCTCGGGCCAACACTCTGCCACAGCCAGGGCGCCCTTTTCTCTCTTTTTTAAATGTGTATTTTTACTTATTTCAGAGAGGAAGGGAGAGGGATAGAGATAGAAACATCAATGATGAGAATCATTGATTGGCTGCCTCCTGCACACCCCACACTGGGGATCCAGCCTGCAACCCGAGCATATGCCCTGACCGGGAATCAAACCAAGACCTTCTGGTTCATAGGTTGACGCTCAACCACTGAGCCATGCTGGCCAGGGTCCCCTTTTCTCTCTTAATATGAGTAAGTCCTAAGCCTGCAGCGAGTACGAGAGGTCATATTCCCTTTCAAGTGCCAAGAATAATAAACACAAACCATCTCCTCGGCCTCCTCTTTTGACTTAGAAGCTCCTCAGTGTCAGGCTCAAATGACTTCCAGCTGATTTCACTCTCCAGGCTGCAAGGTGAGAATAGTTAAAAGAGGTAAGAGCGGCAGTGAAGAGCATGGACCACTCCAGGGAATAAGGTAGCTGTGTGTCCTTAGGCAAATTGTTTAACCTCTCTGATCCACAGTGATCTCACCTGCAAACTGAGAACAATACTTGTATCTAATTCATGGGGCAACATTGCAAGGGGTCACTGAGGTAATGCTTATAAGACCTGGAGAATAGGGCTGGATAACGGTAATTTTTTTTTTTATTACTAAATATCTGACAGAGTGATAACATGGCCAGGAAGGCTGGGATCCCTCTAGAACAGTGTTTCCAGAAGTGTGGTACGTGTACCCCCAGGGGTATGGGAAGTTTGGTGGGGGTACGCGTTGCACCGGAGTTTGGTGGGGATATGCACTGCACCGTGCTTAGCTGCGCCTAATTCTACGTTCTCATGAGTACAAGGGGTACTCAGCGTTACGAAAATTATAGAAGGGGTACACGTATGTCAAAAGTTTGGGAAACACTGCTCTAGAATAAAGGCCAATCTTAAACAAAAATCTCTGCTTGGAGAAACTCCTGAGAAGCAGCTCTCTCTGGGGCATTTCAGCTGAGTTTAACTCTTCCATTCTCTGAGTCAAATTTCTTAACCTCCAGGAAATAACAGAATCACCCAGAGAGCTTATGTACCATGAATAGTCTTAGAGCTTTCTCTCCAGAGTCTCTTCCGGGTTTGGGATGAGGCCAAAGGTTGGGTATGTTACTTAGACAAACACCTTGGGGAATTCTCATTCAGTGTCTAAACACTGCCCTACGCCAGGAGTAGACAGACTTTTTCTGTAAAGGGCCAGAGAGTAAATACTTGGGCGTTGTGGGCCAAAAGTCTCTGTCACAACTGCTTCACTCTATTATTGCAGCATAAAAACAGCCAAAGTCATGAAATAAGTGAAGGGGGTGTGACTATGTTCCAATAAAACTTTATTTACAAAGACAGGTAGGGGGCCAGATTTGACCTATGGGCCATAGTGTGCCATTCCCTGCTTTCTGCCTCTTCTATATATTTAACCAATAAAGACACAGACATGGGTATTTAAAAAAAAAAAAAAAAAAGTGATATTTCTTTAATTTAAAATTAAAGAACCAGTCTGTTTAAGTGATCCAGTCTTTCCTCTTTATACCCAATTGGAACAGACACAATGTTGGCTCAGGTTGCTAACTCCAGAGAAAAACCAAACCGAAATACAAAACCCTCACGAAGTCCCCACTGCTACCCTGCTGGGCGCTCTGGCTCCTGGGAGGGAGGGCGTCCAGGTTGCCAGGGGCGACTGCTTTCCAGCCACACTGGGAAGAGTTTTCTTCCACCACCCAATCCCCTCACAGGCCTGATTCCTCTCCCTTGCTCTGCAGCTGGCCCTGCATGTCCTCCGCGGAGCCTGTCTGTGGGGGCACCTCCCTGTGGCTGCCACAGTGGAGCGGAGCGATTCTGAATGCACGTGCTCGCAGGGCAGTTGTTTGGCTGAGATCTGGAGCCTTGAGTTGTAACCATCAGTCAGTCACGTGTGGTCAAGGCACCAGCAGCAAGATGGCAAAGTTGGGAAATGATCTGGAAAGAAATGCACAGTCTCAGTAATGGCTTCAGTAGATTTCACCCTGAAAATGAAACAGACAATTGCCATCTGGGTAAACTCCCTACACACGGGAGAGAGCAGAACAGGGAACACCACCTCCTTTAGGACTCTAAGGTCCGTCTGTCCTTCCGAAGCACAGAAATCAAAGGTCCCACGTCTTAGGTCAGCAATGCTCCCACCTCAACATTCAGGGCCAATCAGGCCTGCGGACTCGCCCAGCCTGCCACTGGGCTTCTCAGAAGAACTGTCTCTGAATAGTGTGTGAAGGGAGGCCAGCGGGTGATGCTGAGCAGGTTTCTTGCAGGGTTTTAGAGAGGTCCGGTCAGCAGAGAGGAAAGAAGGAAGGGCTTGGCCAGAGTGGCCCTCAGAGATCCTGGAGGTCTTCCCAGGAGGGGTTCATGGACAGAATAAGTAGAACTGGCTTGAAGCAAACCTTCTGGAAGGAGCCAACAGGTCGCCACAGACCCACTGCAGTGGGCAACAGGTGTCCACACCTGTTTACTTTCTCTAAACCTTCCAGCACCCAAAGCCTGAAGCTCGAGCTGAGTCAAGAGCTGTTGGGACAAACCCCTAAAGGGCTGTCCCGGACGCAGCGGAAGACCAGATGGTGGCCAAGCCACCCCCACCCCATGCAGCATATCCCAGGTGTGTGGCAGAGGCAGCCCAGGGCGCTACCAAAGGCCCCTGCTGTGCCCAGAGTGGGTGGGGAAGAGCCTGGCATTGGAGTCCCCTGAGAACTGAGGCTCCGTGAGGAGGAAGGGCGGGGTTTCTCTGGCACTCTGCCTCCCAAGGGAGGAAGGAGCGCTCACTGTGCTACTGCCGGCACCACTGACAACCTCTTACTGCGGGACGGTCCCCGAGGGCGGGGCGATCATTCCCCAGGGACAGCCTTCCTTCCACGGGTCCCAGATGGAGTCTGGGTCATGTCATAAGCCCAGGCTCGCAACAACACATGGCCCCTCCCTCCACCACCACCCCCCGCCCCCGTGCCTGACCCCAGCTAACCAGTCTTAACAAGGTTCTTAACAAGGCAGCTCGAGTGGTGGGGGAAGAGTCTGGGTCTCAGGTTCCTCCTCCCAGGCTCCTTTCTTCCTCAGAGATAGTGGGCCTCCTGTGCGTCTGTTACAGAGGGGGCTGTCCGCGGGGCCGGCCCTCGCCAAAGGCCAGCTGCAGAGCCCACGTACAAGACCACCTGATGTCATCCAATCCCAGCGGAAGGCCGGCTCAACCCCTGCCCTCACTGGATGATGCTGTCCGGCTGTCCGTTCTGGGCCATCTGTCCGGGGTCAGAGGCGGGGGCAGGGCAGGACGTGTTGCTCTGCAGGTAGCGGCGGAAATCCTTGATCATGGGCCGGAGGATCTGGATGAGGACGCTCAGGGCCGCCTGCGTACCCTCCATGGCCTGCGCCTGGCGCTCCTGGGCGCAGGCCTGCAGCTCCTGGGAGCGGCGGATCATCTGCAGCAGGTCGTTCTGCTGCTCCAGGTGCTGGGCGATCTCCTTCACGTGCAGGTTGGTGACGCGCTGCTCCTGGATCAGCTTGGCCGAGTTGAGGGCGATGCGGCTCTTGAGCGCCTGTGGCTTGACCGAGGGGTCAGCGTGCTGGGCGATCATCTCCACGGGGGCCTCCGCGGGCAGGGGCGGGGGGGCCTCGGCCGTGCAGTACTCCACCACCCCCTCCTCCAGCGTGTGATAGGTGGTCTCTGTGGGGACTGTGGAGAGAGCCAAGGCAGCGTCAGGTCACTTTTAGAAAAGCTGGTTACATGGGATGGGCCGTATTAGGCCCTATTCTGGGGAACTCCGGCCTCCTCTGGCTTTATAGCCATACCTATACCTAAGGAAATCTAGAACCTGGCAGGTTTAGACTCTTAATCTATTTGGTAGCCAAAGGGTCAGTCCCAGATCTGGCAAAAGCAAAGATGCTAATAATGATGCTAGCAAAACATTCAGAGCGCCTGCTATGTGCCAGGCACTGTATTAAGCCCTTTGCACTCATTAGCTCAACAAATCCTCATGACATCAAGAGGTAAGTCCTGTCGTGTCCATTTTCAGAGATGAGGAAACAGATTCAGAAACATGGAGTTGCTTTGCCTAACGTCACACAGCTTATTCAGCAGGTGCAGGAAGCAAACCCAGGTCTCCCCAACGCCAGAGTCCTCAATCCCACCCCTCTCGGCTGCTTCTGCTGATACAGGCATGGTCACATGCTCCCTGTGGCACCGGTACCCAGCAGGCATCTGGAGTGGGAACCTCTACATAAGCTGTTTGTAGCTACGCTAGTCCTGCCTCCTTCAGTGCCTTCCTGACTGCCAGTCTCCTATGGCCAAGCCAAGGAGGAGATGGGAGAGGGCTGGCAAAGTGTCCAATAAACGCTTCCCTGTCTTCTGATCACCTTGGTCAGTGGAATACCTAAGAATTCTTCCTGTTCCAGAACTGAATGAGGCCAGCGTTGGATCCTCTGTCCTACCTCAATATCCTGGGAAATATGACCCTGCAGGGGATGGCACTCACAGATACCCAATTCCTAAAACCCCGCTGAGAAGCGCTGGCCTGATCAGTGCCATTTATAACCTGGCACAAAGAGGCAGTTAACCGATACCAACGCAAACCCTTATCTGAACTTGAAAGTTCAGCCCAAGCCAGTCCCATTGTTCTCCGGTGGAAAGCCTTTGAAAGGACTCTAGGTGCGCTGTCTGTGCCCCCTGCAGAGGGGGGTGAACCTTCTCCACCCTTCAATGCCAACTTCAACCGTGTGCCCCCACCAACCACGCAGCTCCCTTCTCTCCGCTGAGTTATGTTCTCCCAACTGACGCTGCAGTTACTCAGATATGTCCTACCTGTCCTACTAGATTATAATTGGCACCTTGGTAATCCCAGTGCCAAGCACAGGGTTTGGCACAGAATAAATGCTAATGTTTGATGGATGAATGAATGAGCAGATGAACATCAGGAGCCATGAGGTTCCTCAACTGTGCCTGAAGAATGTTTGCCACACCAAAAACCCAGACTGTCTCTCTGTCCAGAACCCATGTTTGACTTGGGCATGATCATTCCCATCTATCTACTCACTGAACAAATATATTCTGGCTGCTTAGCATGTGCCAGGCCCTGCAGTAAGTCCTGTGAGGATATCAGCATGGTCTCTGTCTTCAGGGACCACACAGATCAGTCATGGACAGGAATGGCGGCAAAACGCAGTTGAGAGCCATCCAGCTCAGCAGAAGTCCAGACTGTGTGCTGAGGAAGCCCCAGAGAGAACAAGATCATTTCTGTCTCGTCGAAACCGGTTTGGCTCAGTGGATAGAGCGTCGGCCTGCGGACTGAAAGGTCCCAGGTTCGATTCCGGTCAAGGGCATGTACCTTGGTTGCGGGCACATCCCTGGTAGGGGGTGTGCAGGAGGCAGCTGGTCGATGTTTCTCTCTCATCAATGTTTCTAGCTCTCTATCCCTCTCCCTTCCTCTCTGAAATCAATTTTAAAAAAAAAGAAAAGATCATTTCCGTCTGGGGAGCTCTTGGAAGATCTCAGGGTCTTCCAAGACTCCTATCTGACCTTTGACCCTTTACAGCCAACCTTCCCCGGGCTGCCCCATCTCTTGCTGGCCCTTCCCATGGATGCACGCTGGACTGGGCAGGAGAGGTCACTCACTCTGTGTCAGGGTGACCGTGGCTGCGGCTGCGGTAGCCGTAGGTCCAAGGGCTACAGGGTGGATCTCTGCGGTACTGGGCAGGCTGATGATGGTGGCCTCACCCAGCAGATTGCAGATGCGCTGTTGCATGGGGGTGAGCAGCACGGGGGCTACGGCCTGGCCCCCGCCACTACTGCTACCCCCTGGCCCCGGCCCACCAGCTCCATCTTCCTCACCGGGCCCTGGGGCCTCGCCACCCTCCACTGCCGCCCGAACTTGGGCCACCTTGCGACGGACCTCGGTCTTGAGATCAGACCACTTCTTCTTGACCTCGGGCAGCTCCCTGCGGCAGGTGGCCACGGCGTTGACCCTTCTCAGGATGCCGTGCCACGCCGCGCTCTTGGCAGCCAGAGGGACCCCGGCGTTGAAGTGGTTCACCAGCAGGTGCTTCTTCAGCTCCAGCTCCTCCACGATAATCTCCACCTCTCGCTCGGAGAAGTTCATCTTCCTCTTCTTGGCTGGGACGGCCATGGCCTCTCCCTACCCTTCTTTTTTAAAGAAATTATAATCCCTTCAACCGTCCAATTTCCCTTTTTTATTTCTTCCTTAGCCTCGCCCCTCACCCATCCCGCTACATACGATAGGCCGAATTTGCCAAGGCCAAGTACCAGGCCTTTGGTAACCCCCCCGTTACGCAAAGTGCGTAGGGCCCGGCACCGACCGGCAGGGCCGCTGCCAGCCAGCGGCGTAATGGCTTCCTGAATCTGCCTCTTCCGCTCGGGTGTGCGGAGATCCGCCCACTTCCCCTCCTCCCGCCTCCCAGCGCTGCTCCGGGGGAACCCGCCCTCCTGGTTGGGCGAGGCTCACGATCAGGACGCTCACTGGTTCTTTGGGTCTGTCGCTCAGCTCCAGAGCACGCCCACTTACCGGGATTGACTCGATCATTGGTGTAAAGGTATGCCTGTCTCTACCGAGTGCTCGGATCACTGAGTCTTTATTAACTTCATTGGGAATTCGTTGTCGTTCAATCTGCAGTATTTACGGACATTATCCTATTAAATTCAGCTATTTTTTTTATTGGTGTAGGGAGTTAGATTATCAAAACCCGGCCTCCTGAGCATCCCGATAGTGCTTTCAGCTTGGCAGTTGGCCAATAAATTTGTAATTTCACCCACGGGCGCAAACTGGTTTGAGATGCAGCTCACAATTACTCCTCACACAAACCCAATTTCCCACCGAAGACAAGAGCGCTCCTCCCATCCTCACAATTCCGAAGTCCAAACAGAGTTACTCAATGGAAACTGGACGCGCGGCCTCCCGCCTGCCAATCACATGACTTCTGCCTATGGCGGCGCGGTTTCCCCTGTTTGGCCCGGCTCAGCCAATCGCTGCCCCCCTCCGTTTGAATCGGCCCCAGGCTGAGCCGGAACCGCCCCGCCCACTCTATTGATCCAAGCCGGCAAGGACGATGTGGGCGGTCCTCGGAGAGGTCCCGCCCCTCCTGGTGGCAGTCCCGGCCTGTGATTAGTCGGAGGCGGGCTGGGGGCGTGGCCAGAGAGGCGGGGCTCCCGGAAGCGGCCCCTCCCGCGCGTTTGCCGGCATCTCGGAACCCGCGCTGGCAGTCTGAGGATCCCCGCGTGTCTTCTGCGTTCTCCTCGCCGCCCGGCGCCCCTGCCTCGCGCCCGATGGTGAGCAGCGTCCTGTGCCGCTGCGTGGCTTCCCCGCCGCCGGACGCCGCCGCCGCCGCCTCGTCCGCCTCGTCGCCGGCGTCAGTGGACCCGTGCGGCGGCGCCGTCTGCGGGGGCCCGGACCACAGGCTGCGCCTGTGGAGCCTCTTCCAGACGCTCGACGTCAACCGCGACGGCGGCCTGTGTGTCAACGACCTGGCCGTGGGGCTGCGACGCCTGGGATTGCACCGCACCGAGGGCGAACTCCGGGTAGGCGGCGCGCACCGTCCGCGCGGGCGAGGGGGGCCCTGCGTGTCCCAGACTACGGGGAGTCCGGGGAGCGAGGGGGGGGGGGTCTGAACGTCCCGGCTTATGGGGGCAGCCCCTTGGAGCCTAGAGGGTCTGCTGGGTGGCCCCTTGGTCTTGGTGGGACCCCGGAGTGCCCGGTGGGTACCCAGTTTAAGTGCTGGTGGGAGTGGAGCTCCTTGACCTCGGTGGGCGCTTAAGCTAGAGGGAAAGGCTGTGCATGGGCACAGGTGGGCACCCGGTGGGAGCTCCTGATGGGCGAAAAGTCCCCGACTGCTCCGGCTTTCCCCAAAGTAGAGGCCAAGACTCAGAAGTCTGCCTTTCCTCACCTCCTGACCTCAAGGCTAATAAGCTTGATGCATCCCCTTACCCGCCACTGACAGGTTCAGCCATCCTCCCCCAGCGACCCCCTCCTTCCCCTCTGGTTTCCATGCCAGCCATTGGCCTGGATCTGGTTCCTCTCAGAAGCATGTGGGAGTTGGGAGAAGGGGGGAAAAAAGGGAACTGGGGTTTTAGACAGATCTGTGATGCTGTGGGTGGTGAGGACTGACAGCTCTCCTGATTTAGGCGCGTTCCTACTGACATGCTTCTCCAGAAGATGGATGATGATCCCTTGCTGGGTTGCAGGTGATAAGATAATGCAGGGAAAATACTTCCTAACGGAGGGAATATCATTCTTCCTGTTCGGGAGTGGCTCTTGGCCCTGGGGAAGGGGGTACCGTTGAAAGAGCAGTGCTGTCTTTTCTTTTCTTTTTAAATATATTTTATTGATTTTTCACAGAGAGAAACAGAGAGGGATAGAGAGCTAGAAACATCGATGAGAGAGAAATATCGACCAGCTGCCTCCTGCACACCCCCCACCAGGGATCTGCCCGCAACCAAGGTACATGCCCTTGACCGGAATCGAACCCGGGACCTTGCAGTCCGCAGGCTGACGCTCTATCCACTGAGCCAAACCGGTTTCGGCTGTCTTTTCTTTGTAAGAATCTCAAGCAGAAGAATCTCTTTCCCTTCTCTCAAGCTATGTTTTTCCATCTGACTCTGTAGCTGTCGCTTCCCTTTCCCGGATATTTCATTTACGTGTGGCTTAGCCTGATGTACACCCGGGGAGGACCGCCGTGTACCTAGTCACTTGTTTTTCTTCGAAGTTAGTTCATTTGGCCCATTTGTACAGAATCTCACAGCCAAGTATGGAGAAATCTGGTAAAACACCAGAGAATTAACCCAGTTCTTTGGTAGGCCAGGTGCGTACATAAAGTGTTTTTAACTCATGTCCAAGATAGCTTGGATTGACATCTAAGGTGTTTAACCTTCTTAAGATCTGCCCGGGAAGAAGACAAAGGTTAACACCATGTAAGAACAGAAACAACAGGTTAATTCCAAGAGGTTTATAGAGACAAGTTAAAAATAATTAAGTAGCCCTAGTCAGTTTGGCTCAGTGGATAGAGCGTCAACCCATGGACTGAAGGGTCCTGGGTTCGATTCCAGTCAAGGGCACATACCTGGTTTGCAGGCTCCATCCCTAGCCCCGGTCAGGGATGGTGCAGGAGACAATCAATCGATGTGTCTCTCTCACATCGATGTTTCTGTGTCTCCTCCTCCCTTCCACTTTCTAAAAATCAGTGGGAAAATATCCTCAGGTGAGGATTAACAAAAATAAAACTTAAGTTTTACACAAAACAGTAGTGTGAGCTTGGTGCTTTCCTGTACATATCTAAGGAGTAAGTCACTTGGAAAGATAGTATGGCTGAATCAGACTTTTGTGCCGTGTGGGCCCAGGGAGGTGTGGGCCCGGCTTACCTTCCTGCTGCTTTGCACTACTTGGCATGTGCTGCAGGCACATCAGGGCATCTGGCTGTGGGAGTGCATTCAGTGTTGACGCTAAGCTTAGTGCTAACCCAGAGTCACGATGTTCTTGTGATTCACGGCACAGGCACATCTGACATTGATCCTAATCCATTTTTCTGGCAGTGAATTTCTAAGGGCAAATAAGGAGAAAGCGATCGCTTTTCTGTCCAGTGTTAAAAGAAACCTTTCTGATTAGCCAAAGGTTGCCTGGCCCCTTGGTCACGTTGGTTCTCAGATTTTTGATTCTGTGACTGATCTAAGTTCTGTTGTGTGTGTTTTTTTAATTTTGTTGTTGTTGGATTTAGAGAGAGAGAAAGAAAGTTGAGTTTGTTGTTCCACTCATCCATGCATTCCCTGGTTGACTCTTGCGTGTGTCCTCACAGTGGATCGAACCTTAGCATATTAGGTAATGCTCTAACGAACTGAGCTACTAGGACTTCTATTTTTTTAAAAACATATTGTTGTTGATTTCAGAGAGGAAGGGAGAAAGAGAGTTAGAAACATCAACGATGAGAGAGAAGCATTGATGGCTCCCTCCTGTGCACCCGAACTGGGGATTGAGCCCACAACCTGGGCATGTGCCCTTGACCAGAATCGAACCCAGGACCCTTCAGTCCACAGGCCAACACTATCTTAGTGAAGCCAAACCAGCGAGGGCTAGGGCTTTTTTATTCTTGTGGTGTGGGGATTTAGTATGGACTCTATTTCTATAACTCTTCTAGCTTTTGAATAAGTTATTATTATACAGGGTTGAGGCTCGGAATTATGCATTGTATTTGTTTATTACCTATAAAGGAGTACATGCTAGTCTTCTGGCGAATGGTTTGAGTATTGAGAGAGAAAATCAGCTTTGTTGTAAATAACCAGGCAACAGGAAGACTCCCTGCCGCATAAACCCCCACATCACTTCCTGTTGAAATAATATCAGTGTTAGTTACGAACAGAAATAGTGCTGCAGTTTTGCAGAACAAGAGAGAAGTCGGGGCCCTTGGGTTAGAAATGGGTGTCTGCCAGGGGAATAGGCGTTGAAACATACATCAGACTCTGGCAGCTGCTTCCTGTGACCCTTTGATCGGTCCGAAGGGCTGGGGTTTGCTCAGAAATCAGCTTTGAGTGCTTATCAGTGGGTGATGGGCGAGCCACGCCACGTGACTAGCAAAGCCTCTTGCTAGCTTTACCGCAGGTTGGGTCAAGTTTTCTTTAGAAATGAACCAGCCATTTTTGGCATCTGCCTTTCTTTGTTGTGTTTTGTCCAGAAGAAATTGGGACAGTCGAGGAAACATTACCTACAACGGAAGCGGGCAGCCAGCCAGGGAAATTTCCTTTGTAAAGGACATGTGAGCAAGAAGCCCGTCCTGAGATAAAAAAGGGAAGCGTTTATTTGTTTTTATTTTATTTTTGGGGGGTAGGGTTTATTAAAGAAGGAGAAAAGATGACGGCAGGCAGCGGCAGTGACTTGAGGAAATGAGGCTTCAGCTGGAGCTAATTATAGCATTCCTACTTGAGGCATGTTCATGTGACCAAACAAAATCTTTGTCTTTAAACAGATTGAAAACATAGGTTCTGACTTACGCAGCCCATCAGAGGAAGGATGCAAGCTGGGTTAGACGTCCCTCTAGCTGAGGGGTGGGGCTGGTGTAATGCAGCTGAGGTTTTAGACGGTGGTTTGCTGGCTTAGAGGTGCATATGCACCAGCTAGTTCAGGCCTCACAGTAACCTTGTGAAATAGGCAAGACAGTGATTTCACCCCATTGTACAGAGGGAGGAACAGAGGTTCAAAAAGATTATAGAACAACCTCAGAACTCATGGGACCACTAAGGAATTAGACCAGAGCAAGAACTGGAACCCAATGCTGATTTGTGCTCCACTGTTTAACTTAGACCAGTTGTTTCTGGATTTTTGGGAGAATTGAGAAAGATTGGGGAGAGATCAATTTAGAACCACATCTGTGTTTTCCCAAAGTAGGTTTCAAGCTTATCCAAGGATTATCCCGTCAGAGAATGAGAATCTGCCCTGCCCTAATTCTCTCCTTGACCTGAGCAGTGTGCAAGAGGCAGTCTCTATTGACCTGAAATGATGAGTGGAAGATCATTAGGGTCAGGTTGGTGGTATTGCTTCACCAGACAGTACTGCTAAACTGGGTACCGATGAAACGTGTGGTCATTGGCCCAGCTGGTGTGGCTCAGTGGTTGAGTGTCGACCCTTGGATCAGGAGGTCACAATTAACTCCCAGCTGGGCTGTGGGCTCCATCTCCAGTAGAGCTGTGCAGGAGGCAGCCAGTCCACGATTCTCTCTCATCATTGATGTTTCTAACTCTCTCCTTTCCCTTCCTCTCTCTGAAAACAATAAAAACATATTTAAAAATATTTAAATGGGTGGTCATGGGGAGGGAGGGAGGGGGAAGCTAGACTTAGATAAGACAGTCTATAGAAAAAGAGCCTTTTTCATAGAAAAGGGATAGACATAATTTGGCATAATACTATGGCCCATTAGAAAAAGAAAATGCTATTTGCAGCTTGGATTAAGTTCCTATAATCCAAAATTGATTCCTGGCTTGAAGTAATTATCATCAAGAGATATATATATATATATATATATATATATATATATATATATATATATTTTTTTTTTTTTTCCCCCTAGCCCTGGCCAGCAGCTCAGTGGTTAGTGTCGGCCCTCAGACTGAAGGGTCGCAGGTTCAATTCCCCTCAAGGGCACCTACCTTGGTTGCCAGCTGGATCCATCCAATTAATGTGTCCCTCTCACATCGATGTTTCTCTCTCTGTCTCTCCCCCTCCCACTTTCTCTGAAAGTCAATGGAAAAAAATATCTTTGGGTGAGGGTAAACAAACAAACAAAAAAGTTGGGTGCTTTTTTGTTTTTGTGTGTGTGTTTTTAAGGAAGCTTAAAAAAAAGTTAGTTGGTATTTGGAAAGGTGGGATCAAGTCCCCTGATCCAAAACCAGGTGAAAAATAAGGAGATAGCCTGAGGAGGCCTGACCTGGAGCTTCAGTGGGATGCAGTCCTTTGATGTTGAAAGAGTCATTAATTGCTCAAGTCCCACAGAAACCTCAGGGGAATGAGAGAAAGACGTATTTTGCTGGTATTCATTTCT